CCAACCTCTGGCCACCACCACCAACCTTTGGCCACCATCTCCACCATTTCCTGACCAACTCTACCAACCCCTGGCCACCTGCACCAGTCCCTGGCCACCTCCAGCCTTGACCACCTTCACCATCCCCTGGCCACGAACACCAACCCCTGGCCCCTACCACCCACCCCTGGCCACCTCCATCATCTTTGGTCATCATCTTCAGCCCTGGCCACCTCTGTCAGCCCCTGGTCACCACCACCAGTCCTTGATCATCTCCACCGGCCCCGGCCACCACCTCCAGTCCTTGGCCACTTCCATCATCCTTGGCCACCTCCACCATCCCTGGCCACCACCGCCAACCCCTGGCCACCTCCATCATCCTTGACCACCACCCCCAGTCCTTGACCACCTCCACCATCCCTGGCCACCACCTCCATCATCCTTGGCCACCTCTGTCAAACCCTGGCCACCTCCACCATCCTGGATCATCTCCACCAGCTCCTGGCCACCTCCACCATCCCAGGCCACCTTCACCAACCCTTGGCCACCTCCATCATCTTTGGCCATCATCTTCAGCCCTGGCCACCTCTGCCAACTCCTGGCCACCACCACCAATCCCTGGCCACCTGCATCAGTCCCTGGACACCACCACCAACCCTTGGCCACCTCTACCAACCCTTGGCCATCTCCACCATCTCTGGCCACCACTTCCAGCCTTGGCCACCTCCTCCAGCCCTGGTCACCTCCACCATCCCTGGCCACCATCTCCGTCATCCTTGGCCACCACCAACAACCCTTGGCCACCTCCTCCAGCCCTGGCCACCACCAATAACCCTACACCACCTCCATCATCCCAGGCCACCATCTCCAGCCCCTGGCCACCTCCACCATCCCTGGGCACCCGACACCATGAGACCCTCCACCCCAATCATCCCCCACCCCCAGATCCCACTCCTCCCTGGATGCCCACCACCCACATCCTGGTCCTCCTGTCCCCACTGTGTCCCCACGTCCCCCACGCACCGATGTGGCGGTTGGGCAACCTCTTGAGCAGGCAGGGCTCCTCGTTGCCCGACGGCGCCCGGATGCTGGCGGTCAGCAGGCTCAGGTCAGTCTCCGTGATCTTCAGCGAGACGTCGGTCGAGGTGCCCACGTTGAGCTGCGATGTCCGCATGGAGTCGTCCCCTGCCGAGATGACACCAGAGGGGTCAAGGGGACAGCGCGCTGGGGGTGCGTGGGGTCTCCCACGAGGTCCCCATGGCCATGTGATGGGGTCTCAATGAGGTCCCCATGGCCATGTGATGGAGTCCTCAAGGCCATGTGATGGGGTCCTCAAGGCCATGTGATGGGGTCACCATGAGGTCCCCATGGCCATGTGATGGGGTCCTCAAGGACATGTGATGGGGTCTCAATGAGGTCCCCATGGCCATGTGATGGAGTCCTCAAGGCCATGTGATGGGGTCCTCAAGGCCATGTGATGGGGTCACCATGAGGTCCCCATGGCCATGTGATGGGGTCCTCAAGGTCATGTGATCCCATGGCCATGTGATGGGTCCCCATAGCCATATGGAGGTCCCAAGGGCCATGGTACATCCCCATGACCATGCAGGTGTCCCCATGGCCATAGGGAGGCCCCAAGGCCCTTGGTGGAGCCCCAGGACGATGGGGGTCCCTCTCACCGGTGATCTTGGCGGTGAAGGGGCTGCCGGGGATGTGTTTGTCATCGAAGCGGACGATGATGTTGTAGTCACCGGGGGCGGTGGGCAGGTAGGACACGGTGCAGGTCCCGTCCTTGTTGTCCTGGCAGGTGATCTCCGCCTTGGAGGGACCCTCCACGGCCAATGAGAGCCCACCTGGGGGACAAGGTGGGCATCAGGAGGTGTTGGGGGTCTCCAGCCCCTTCCAACCTCTCCTGGTGTCCCCATGGCCACCACTCACCCTCCCCGGCGTCCTTGGTGACGATGGTGAAGGTGCAGGGCTTGTTGACCATCCCGTGGCTCAGCCCCGGGCCATAGGCGCTCACGTGGCGTGGGTTGATGGCGTCCACGTAGAACTGGAGGGGACTTCCTGGAGGGGACACAGGGGACAATGGTCAAGGACTGTTGGGACACCACGGTGGGACACCCAACCCATGGGTGACGATGGTCAAGGAACCCATGGGGACACCACAATGGGCCACCCAACTCATGGGTGACTATGGTCAAGGACCCCAGGGGGACCCCATAATGGGACACACACAC